ANAGTACTATTAAACTAAAGAAAATAAAAACAGTGGTTTAAAGCCTTTCAAATTTTCTTTTTCTCATCACCGAAATTCCATCAACAAGTAATCAACATAAAATTTTTGAATATTTCCTAATTTTTTTAAAAAATAAATCATAATTTTTTTTCTTAAAAAATATTAAAATAAAATAAAATAATTCACAGTCCATTAAAAAGTTTTTTTAAAAAAATGAAATTCATTCTTTCACCTCAATTTTATTTACACAGAGAAAAATAAATTTATCTAACACATTCATTCATACCGTTAAATATACGTATATACACACACACACACGCGGACAACACCCTAACAATGGGATGAATGATAAATGATGGTGATGAAGTCATGATCATTTCGAGCATTCATAAAAAGGTGAAAATTTTCCACTTAACAGAATTTTTTTCACTTTGTTCTTGTTTCGGTTTTTTTCTCTGCTTTGATAAAACAAAACGCGCACACACACACACACTTTTCCCTCTTCACTCTGCGTTCTTCGTTCTTTGCGCCTCAATCAATTTAGCTTGTTAAGTTGAAAGAAGTTTTCAAATAATCTAATCTAGTCTAAATAAGCTAAGTGTGATGATTTTGTTTTATTTTCGGGCTGCAGAGAAAAATTATGCTTATCAGACAGTAGAATACCATGTGAAAGAAAGCCTATTGAAAAAATGTCCACACACACTTTTGAACAGAGCGCACTACATCTCCGCACACACACACACACACTTGCTGGCACTTTCACATCAACATGTAGATATACATTCTCACAGTAAATTTGTTCATAATAGTAATAATAATAATAATAATAATAATAATAATAATAATAATTATTATTATTATTATTATTATTATTATTATTATTATTATTGATTATCATAATTGAATCGCGTTTTGTTGTTTTATTTTAATTGACAGCTGACGTGGCAATCCATCATGAAAATAGCCTCATTTACGCATACACACGCACACACACACAGAGAATGGGGTGTGAAGTAAAAATGTTTTTGCATTCATTATGTAACAATTGACAGTTGTCTTCAGAAAAAAATATAAAAGAAAGCCTAGAAATGTTAGTTTTTGGAGAGGGAGAGATGAACAAATTACCGACATGAAAAGCAATTTATGTAAGTGTAAGTAGAATAGGCAGGTAGGTAGGTAAGTAGGTAAGGTAGGTAAGGTAGGTAAGGTAGGGAGGTAGGTACATGGTAGGGGCGTGCATGGGAATGAATGAATGCATGTGAATGTACTGAAAAATTGTTAATATATAAGAATATTTTCGAATATATTTGTGAATTGTGAATTTAGTTAACTGTATACAATGTAATGAACTACTGTACTACTACTATTAGAGTAAATCAAAATAACTGGTGCACTGGTTTGTTATGCAAATTTTCTGAATAGTAAAATGATAAACTATTGTACTGGGAAATCAGATAAGTCAATGTACTATAATTGTACAGTAATAATAACAGTTGTTTTGGAGCCGTATGGGATCAGTATGGGACTCTTCAGCAGTGCACGTTCACGACTCCTGCTTACGAGAATCGATCGTTCAGCGTTCGGTCTTACGCACGAACGCTTAACCTCTTGAGAAGTGAATTGGAGTCTAACGGTGTTAATAAGCCATGATTCGTGAAATTTAACGCTGTTGAGTGCAGACAATGGGTGAGGTTGTGTAAAATCCTTAGATTGATTAAAGTTAGAAATTGTCAGTGTTGGATGCTGGTTCAGAGGTGGTTAGGGACGTTAGATCACCAGAACTCAATTGATAAAGGTCCTAATTTGGATTTTATGTTTTAGTGAATGGGCTGATCAGTTGACTATGAGATTACATTTCCTACCCGGAAAATCCTTAACTGTTATTGGTTGATGTAGTATTTATTTTAGTACATCATTTTTGTGGCTCTCCCAAGGACATTTCTATGATGTATAAATAAACTCTATTTTTGTGTTTGAGAACTTTGGTTTTCTGGGTGCTTGTAGAATACACTTTCTACACCATACCAAAACTTCTTCCTCTATTTAGTGGTGCTTTGAAACGCTCGAATTAGAGTAGCCTCCCGTATCGCTGGATGATTTGTCTTTGCTCTACGATGAACTCGTAATAGTTTCAATCTAATCACTTGGCAAATATCACAGAGGTCTAAAGGTTAAGCGTTCACGTTAAAGTTTTTAGAAAAGCTGAAGGTGTTAAGATGAGTTTTTCAAAAATTAAATGAAAACATACTTCATTACATAATGCGTAACCCTTGTTAGACACGAATTAGAAAAATGTTCACAGGACAAAATCTGATGTTAGAAGGGTTAGTATGCTCCTCTTAGAAAGAGTACAAAGGATGGCTTTTCGAAAATTCCCATAAATGGTCAATCTATCCTGCAAACACTTACTACTTAAGTTGGATCACTTCAATGTATCCTCCACCGAAGAATTAATCATTATGTAACTTTGTCCGGAGTATGGTTGGACTTGGGGTTAGCAACCACTTCTCGTAGAAAACCAACTAGCTAATAAAACGATAACCATAACTAATGATTCAAACTGCTTAAACTGTGCCCTCGGAGTTGGAAGTTCTTCATTTAGAAGAGCTATCGGACCTCATGATCAAAACCGAGTCATATTGGAAGTCATAAGGCCGATGCCTCTTCAAGAAACCAGTGCAGCAATCGGCGTAAGTATATGAAATATTTGCACATTGAAGTAGACCGGGAAAACTATTCGAGCTGGTGAGGAGATGAGTAGAAATAATCGGGTGGTGCCTGCAACAAGTAGAACTCATTGGACGCAGGCTTAAAAAGAAAGATTAGTTTCAGCAGAGACACTATTTTACTCCAACCACGAAGAAGATCATACCCTAACACACACTAGAAGTTGCACTGGTGCTGTCAAAAGAAGCCTGAAAAGCTTTTATAGAATTGTAATCTCATGCAGTTAGGATTATCGTAACATGAAGTAGCATCATATTCTCACATGTCATACATTCTCCTCTCTCTCCTTCAGTAGCTTGACCATATTCCACTCAATACTACTTAGAACCCAGTTTGTTAGTAGTATCCATCACATCAGTACCTAACACTTATAGTTAATTACTTTCTGTGAACTTAAATTTCCCATAAAGATTAATTCTAAACCCTAAAAATTCTTTCGATTGAATCCTTTCACAATAACTAACTTAACATCTGCTTAAATGATCAATTATCAATTTAAATTCCATCCTCTTATTCATTAAAACAAATCTGTTCAGTTTTTTCCAAAAACTATTTTCAGACCAATAAAATTAAAGCCAATTAGGAAATTAGGAGAACAACAACAGCAAAAAAACAAATAACTGTGACATTTAAAACTACCAATCAAAAGAATTCATTTGAATTCCGTAAAATTCACATTATGATTGGCTTATTTTCACTTGTTGTCTATTTGTATTAAAATGAGAGAAGGAGAGATATGAATGAAATTAGGTTTAGCAAAATTTTTTCTAGCCCCTTTTGATGACGACCAGTTAGTTAGTTAGTTAGTTATATTCTTCACCTTCCATAATGGAATAAATTTCTCTTCTTTTTTTTTCTTTCAAGACATGAGGGAAAAATGTGAGGCGAGGAGTTTTTTTGCGCTAAATTTAAGCCAATCAACATTCGATTAAATTGGTGTTTTCATTGAATAATTGCTAATTTTTAGTGGAAATTTATAATTGGAAATATGATTCAGATTTAAAATAAATATCTAAAGTTAATTATTTTAGAAAAAAAAATTTATTTTGCTAATTTAAAGATTATTGAACACATTGAATACACGGTTAGGTCACATGATTCATCAACACAATTCAAATAAAGATTTAACAAAGTCAGATTCTAAAAATTTATCATTTACAATCCATACTCTATTAGAACTTAACAACAATGATAAAAAAAATAATGAGAAAAATGGAACAACTACTACTCAGAATAGTAATAACGATGACAAAAATTCATTGAAACGTTCAATGGTTCCAATGACAACTAGAAAAGAAACTTGCAACTCTATCAAAAATCCACATCATCATTTAAACAATTCGACGCCATCAAAATTATTAGAAGAAAAATTATTTTCACAATTTATTAAAAATGTTTATTTATCACAACAAATTCAAAATCATCATCATCATCATCATCATTTAGGATTATCATCAACGACATCGTCATCATCATCATCAACAGCATTATTGAACATTGAACAATTGAACAGTTTAAAAGAATCGTTAATTTCATCGAAAACATTACTGCCAACTAGTTCATTAAAACAATCGGATAATTATGTGAATAATACTTGTTATATGAACCCTTTAACAATAACAACAACACATACAACTAGTACTACTCCTACTACTAATATTACTACTACTACTACTAACAATTGTATTCAATACAATAATCTTGATATCAACACAATTGTAAATAATTATTTACAAACAGATAATAATTGGTTACAGTTTTTAAATTTTACACCTGATCCATCTTATTTAATTCAGTCAGCAGTCAATGATCAATGTGAATCAGTGGAAAATTCTAATTTGAAACAATTGAATTCTGATTATTTCCAATTGAAATGTAATCAACTTAAAGAAGATGTGAATTATTTGAAAAAAAATATTGAAAAAAGTAAGTGTATATACACAGTTTGTTTAAATGATGTTTGCATTACGGGGGATTGTGAAGATTATTAAGTTACAAATTTTTCTCAACCATGAATCGATCAATGTTTGACCACCATTAGAAACCTGGAAACACTGAAAGATGGCCGTTTCGTCTTGGTATGGGACTCGTCAGTGGCAGTGCGCATCCACGACTCATGCACCACGCAGGATTTGAACACAGCAGGACCTTCGGTCTTGCGCACGAACGCCTAATCTCTGGACCACTGAGCCGGTATCTAACAGTGTTCATGTCTAACTTCAATCAATTCACGGAGTATCGCAACCGCATACACAGTCTTCGGTAGTTACTGTCAACACCCGAACAGGCTGAACTTCACTGGTCACGTATTCCGTGAATTAATCAAGTTAGATATTAACACCGTTAGATGCCGGCTCGGTGGTCCGATGGTTGGGCGTTGGCCTACAGTACCGAAGGACCTGGGTTCCACAACTCCTGCATCTCACAGGATTCGAACCCGTGACCCTCGGTATCGTGTATGGACTTCTAACTTTCGGACCACTAGATAGGCATCCAACTGTGTTAATGTCTAAATCTGATTGATCTACGGATTTTGCTCGATATTAACACGTTTTGATGCCCAGTGGTCCAGAGGTTAGTCGTTCGCTCATATTATTGAAGGTTCTGGGTTCGAGTCCTGCGAGATGCAGGATTCGTGGATGTGAACTGACACTGATGAGTCCCAAACCAGGACGAAACGTCCGTCCACTGCTTGCAGTTTTCTAAATGTGGTCTAAAAATGATTGATTGATGATTTCAAATGTGTCAGAACTTTATTATTGCTAGGATTTTTATTAAAATTCTTGAAACGGATTATTCTGCTGAAATTGTGTACAAAGATATCACTAGGATTCACATTCCATTCTTGAACTTGACTTGATTACCTTGTAAACGTAACAAATTATTGATTTTAACCTAAATAGTTGATACAATTTCATAAAGATATATCTGCTAAACAAAATGTTTTTATTCGGTCTCTTATTCTAAACTTCTAATTTTTAACGCATATTAAAATGGTTTGTCTCTCTTTCAGCTATTCGATATCGTATATGCTTTGTCACGCTGTTTCTTAATTTTTTATACTCGACTAATGTTTTAACCGCTTACTATTCAATACTCTAGGTGAGACAATCTATCAAAGACATGAGTCGAGAACTTTAAAGTTTTATATCACTTTTTACTTACTTACTTACTTAAGGGTGTTACCCCAAATGAAGCATAAGCTATCGACCAGCATTCTCCAACCTACTCTGTTCTGCACTTTCCTTTTCTGCTTCATTCAACTTTTGTTCATTCTACTCATGTCTGTGTTCATTTCTTGGAGCAGTGTATTTTTTAGTCTTCCTCCTTTCCTTTAGCCCCGAGGATTCCAAGTTAAAACTTGTCGTAGGTGATTTCCTCAATGTGTGTTCGATCTAGTTCCAGCGCTTCTTCCTTGTTCCCCTCTCCGATGTAATCTGGTTTGTTCATTTCCACAGTAGGCTGTTGGTGATAAGTTCTGGCCAACGAATCCGAAGTATTTTGCGTAGACAATTGTTAATAACTACTTGTATCTTCTGGATAATGGCTTTTATGTTTCTACAAGTTTCCGCTCCATAGAGTAGAAAAGTGTCTTGATATTTGTATCGAAAAGTGTCGCACTGACGTTGCTTGACGGCTGTTTTGAGTTCCAAATATTTTTCAATTAAAGAAATGCTGTCCTTGCTTCGCAAATCCATGCCCTCTCGTCTGCATCATATCCACCCTGCTCATTTCTTATTTGGTATAATAAAATTATGCGAAAAAAGGAAACAAAACAGGTTTCAGCTAGATAAATTTAATTGAATTTACCCTCAACTGTAGTTGAAAAAAGTACAAGCATGTGATTTGTGAGTGTAACTCAGTCAGTCAGTGAGTCAGTCAGATACAACGTAGAACTTCGTATGTAAGTACATCAGTTCATATTGCCATACCACACATTAGCACAGAGATGTAATTGTCAATTCAAATCCAATAGTAGAAGAGGTAGTAAAGGTATTAGAAGTAATCGGAGAGGTTAGGATTAGAAGATATTATTCAAGCAGTATGATTCAGTGAGATAAGTTTAGAAAGACAAAAGTAGAGATGTTGAAGAATCCAGAAGATTAAGATTTGAGAGAACACAGAGAATAAATACACCGGCGCCATTGCGAGCGATTTTGAGCAATGCCATTCAAGATCTCAAACCTTTGATTACTATTATCTCGCGAGCCCCAAACAAGTAGTCGACACCTATCAACATGTCTCAGTTCACTTGTTAGCGACTTCATGGATTGCTGCCATGTTTTGATCTGGCGGCCCCTAACTTTCTTCCAACCTATTCCTACACTATAAAACAAAGCTCGTCGAGGTAGTCGGTGGTTAGGCATACGCAGCACATGTCCCAACCACCTCAACTGATGAAGTTTCATTGCTTCATCTATTGATCTACGATTCTTACCTAGCACCCGTTTCCCTAATAACAGAGTTGCTCACTCAGGTGTCCCACCATATACGTGCAATGCTTCGAAGACACCTATGATCGAAAACCTGTAACCTACGAATAACTTCTACTCTCACTAGCCATGTTTCACAGCCATAAAGTAAGATGGAGCGAACTACTAACAGAAGTTACTGATAGTCTTTATTCAATTTGTTTAAATGAATAATGTTTGAATACTGAGCTGTTCTTTGATTATTTCATGGTTATTCCAATATTTACTTCGACAACTCATGGATTGATTAAAGTTAGACATTAACACTATTTGAATATTGACTCAGTCGTCCAAAGGTTAAACGTTAGTACACCAGACCGACGGTTCTGAATTCGATTCTTGTGTGCGAAGGTTATGGTTGTGCACTGTTGACGAGTCCCATATTAAAATGATCTAGCTTTAAATTAGTTAGTGATTTCAACCATTAAAATTCATTTTGTATTTCATTCTTCTGAAAATATACTGTTTACTGTGTACATCTTTCTCACATTATCTTTCTTAGGCAGATATATATATATATAAGAGATGGGGGAGAAAATTTGTAGCTCTGGTGGATGAGCTACTGAGCTGGATATCCAGCTCATAGAACGAAAAACACCACCACAAGATATACATATATTTGAATTAGTTATCTGACGCAATCATTAGGTGTATAGACCAACTGCAGTTTGACAGGTTGAAATTGTATATAACTCCAATTAAAACCGATAGTTTTAGCATTTTTGACTTAAAGAATTTTTTAAATTATAAAATCAATATTTTTTAAATTATGAAAACACTACTGATTGAAAAGTCGGGCAACAAATCATTATCCTTTAGTGGTCCACGACTTGACTCCAATTGTGGACGAATGATCGAGTGTGCAGTGAAATAAATCTTCCTGTCCATCCCCGTTTATTCGACGGCGGCAGTTAGAATCGAAACACAGTCTTGCAGATAAATTTATTTCACTCATTTATTTATGCAAATAGACATGAGAATCGAAAGTGTACAAGCAAAGCAAACCAAACCAAAACGAAGCGAATCGGCGAAGGCGACTAAGCCAACCGTCGCGTACTGAAGCAATGGCTTAAGTATTTATATGGTCAGGCAATAATAGGTTAGACATATAATAATCAAGTACGCACGCACACTCACATACACACAATCAAATATTCAATAATCGATACTGTTATCAACCGATATTAAATTTAACCGGAAAAAAACGATCTTAGTCTATAACCTCTCAATAATTCGCTTTCATATTCCTAACAATTATTCATTCGGTTAATTTGTAAACCAGCAGTTATTGTTTTATTAATCGAAATGTCTTCAGAGTAAAAACAGTCCTGTCATAATAAGTTGAACTCATGGTTTATATGGTAAGCAATTTGTGTATTCTTCAAAAAACGAATGTCTGTAGGTAAAATAACCTTAACTATATAAAATATAGTCACTGTGATTAATAAGTTTCATCTAGTAGATGCCCTGGGTTTGAAAATAATAATCATAAGTTGCGATCAATAAAACACATTTCCTAATCATTATCACTTGCTTTATTACTTAGTTACTTAATAAGTTACTTACCTACTTACTTGCTTACTTACTTATGCACTTACGTCTGTTACTACCCCTAATGTGGCATATGTCTCCAAATAGCATTCTCCAACCTGCTCTGTCCTGTACCTTTTCTCCAGTTCTAGCCGATTGCTATTCATTCTTTTCGTTCAGTCAGTCAGCTAAAACGTAGAACTCTACACGCACGTACATCAGTTCAAGTGGCCATTCCACATTACCACACGGAGATGCAATTGTCAGTTCATTCCTCATAGTGGTAGAGATAGTAGAAGTATGAGCTGTAATCAGAAACATTAGGGTTCGAAGATATTATTCAAGAAGTATAATCTAGTGAAATGAATTTAAAAAGAGAAAGATAAAGATGATGAGAGAACACAAAGAATGAATGCATCTGCACCATTGCAAACGATTTTGAGCCATATCATTCAAGAGCTCTAACCGTCGACTACTATTGTCTGGCGGATCCCAACCAGGTAGTTTGCATCTACCAACATTACTTAGTCCACTTGCCGGTTACTTCACGGATTTGTTCCATGTTTTGGTCTGGCCGCCCGTAGTTTTCTTCCAGCTCGCGAGGCAGTTTGCTTCCGATTCTCGGTGAAATATGTTCCTTGGTTTCCCACTTATCATTTAACCTTGAGAATTCCAAGTAAAGTCTTGTCCTTTGACGCAGTTGGGTGATTTCCTCAATATGTGTTCTGTCCAATTACACCGCTTCTTCCTGATTTCTTTTTCATCTGGAAAAATCTGATTAGTTCTCAGCCACAGTAGGTTGTTGCTGATGATGCTGTTCTATTGTACAAACGAATTTTAACTCGATTTCATGCATATTTTTTGCAGAATTATAATTAACAAACAGATACAATAAAATTATTATACTGGCTAGGAAAATTCCAT